GTCACTTAACTCTTGCGATTGTTGCACATTAATTATTTAACGTAATTTCGTTGAAAATAAAGCCCGTAAGTCATATTATAGGTGCGCCTATGGCTGGCTATTTGGTCCCGGACTGTTTGATTTTACCCAAAACCGGACCGTATAACTCGGACCGGGACCGGACGGGGATCGGATAGCAAACAATGCAATCTCATATTCGGGCTTAGACTTGAGGTAAAAAACCGGATAAAGACCGGATAAGAGACCCCCAACACCTAAAATCAAGATAAAATTGGGACCGGACCGGATCAAGACCGGACTGTATCCAATCCAATCTTTGGTCCTTATATTCCCGAAAAGACCAGACTGGGACCGGATCAATTTGGTCCAATTTAACCGGACCGTATAGCCACCCCTCCGTCACCATTTCCGTCCTCAGACGTAACGACATTGTATCAAAATGGTTATTTGCCATGTCACGTTGGCAGTACATGTCAGCAAATTTGTTGAGTCATGTGCGGGCCTCATCAAAACCTGGGCCCACCGAATTTTGGCAACTTCTCCTACTCTTTATCTTCTTCGAAACTAACCTGAAAACCTCATTCTCTCATCTTCCCCAAAAACTCAAAAACCTTTCCTACTTATTCTCTCTTCTTCCCCGAAACAATTGCAAGAAAGCGATTTCCTTTTGTTCGCTCTCTCTATCGTCTTTTTTCTAGCGTATGTCTTGACCAAGACTCACGATCATGATGACAGGTACTGTCAGTTTACCACCATGGACAGAGGGGCCTGAGGATCTCCCATCGTAGCTCAAATCGACGGTGTTGGAGACCTTCGCACTTTCTTTCACTATTGAAACGTAGAAGAGAGAATGACTCGAAGGATGAAGTGCTCGTCGCAGAACATGGCGTCGGAGTAGTCGCTATAGGTGATGGTCCCGTCGGAGTTGAGGCCGGAATAGGTGAGGGTGTATTTGGGGAAGTAGTTTTTTTATGTCGTTGATGTAGTTTTCGTAGGAGCTACATGAGGCGATGATGCAACCGACGGCGACTTAGTCACCGAGATTAGATCTTGTAACTTGGATCCTGAATTTGGTGAGCTGGCCGACGATTCTGTGAATTTGAAGCCAATTCCCCAGGAAAGCAGTCAGGAACGTATTGGAGGCTCAATTAGCCGATGGGAATGCTACAAGTACCATGGAAGAAGGCACAAATCCTTCCAGTGCCCCAATCTGAAAGCACTAATCCTGCGAGATGGTGAGTACTATTTGGAGGACGAAGAAAAGGAAAAGGGAGCTGAAGATGAGGTCATTGAAGAACATTGAGATGGAACCTCCAGGAGGGAATCTCCTCATCAATAGAAGAGCCCTCATCGTTGAGGCTAGGGGTGGAAATCGGTACAGTATCGGTATCCCAATACCAAATACCGAAATCCCGAATGCCGAATTACATCCTAAAGTCAATCCCAATCCCAATCCCTAAATAATTTCTGTATCTCAATCCCTAAATATTTCGGTATCCCAATCGGTACTTCGGTATCCCAATCAGTATTATCGAATACAAAATTAATTACCTTTGCAAGTAATAATAAAATATATAAATTAGATTTGATTGTTTAATTTAGGGCAAAGAGTCTTGAGTTTGTCTAGAGCTAGGATATGGATAAGGAGAATGGAGGAGAGCTGAAATCTCAAATTCTTGTCATTGGTAATCCTTAATTTGACGAATTGGAGGTTGAGAGACGACTAATACTAGTGTTTGTTTTTTGGGTGTTATTAAAATAACAAGATATTATGTGAGAAACGAGAGTAACTTAATCTGGGAAGTCAAAATTGAGTTGGATGGGGGCTTCTAAGTTGTGAAAGAGTGCGTAATGACTAAAGATTGTGTGTAATATTTCATTAATATTTAATTTTCGGTATTTATCGGTATTTCGGTATATACCGATCTCAATCCCGTAATCCCGAATAGCACTCCAAAATGAATCTCAATCCCAATCCCTAAAAAATAAGTCGGTATTCGATAATACCAAATAGTAGGGGTGAACAAACACACCCGCAACCCGACCCACCCGTCCAATCCGACCCAACCCACCCGTATTTATTCCTAAACCGAAGGTTTTGGGTTGGGTGAGGGTTTTCTTTTGTACAACCCGCCTCTTTTGGGTTTGGTTTGGATTTTGGATTACACAACCCGTAGAACCCGACCCAACGCGTGTTCCAATTATTGGTATGAGTTCGTATAAAAAAAATATTTATGTCGTATATAGTCATACTTATGAGAAAATTAATATATTTCGCCATGTTTTTCTCTTAAAGTCTCACTAATCTAATGCATTCTTCGACTTAAAGTTTAGACATATATTTTATATAGCTATGATTCACATAATTTTTTTTTCTTGTGTACAATTTTAAAAGAATATCGTATTATGGATGCGTTCATTTGTAATCTTTTTAGCCTATTTCAATAAATGTCGTGAGAAAAACTAGACATAAGTTGAAGTAAATCAAGTTTCATTAAAATTCAAACAATATTTGTGAATTTTGATACCTTTCGCCTCGGTTTATTCGTTTGAATTTTTAATTTGTTATAAAATATTTTTATGATATAGAATAATTACATATTTTGTGTTGGGTTGGGTTTTTACTTAAAAATACCGTCAACCCGACCCAACCCAATTAGAAACAAACCGTAGAGTTTAGATTTTTTTGGGTGGGTTTGGGTTTAATATTTCCCAAACCATAGTACATGGGTCGGGTGATTAAAATGCCTAAACCCGGACCACCCGACCCATGTACACCCCTACCAAATAGTGATAAATTCGGTACGGTATTCGGTATATCCCAAATACCGGTACCAAACTTCCGGCCCTAGTTGAGGCAGTATTCGAAATGCAACAGCGGGACAACCTATTCCACACGCGCTGCATAATTCTAGGGAAGACAGCTTCATTGGTGATTGACGGTGGAAGCTGCACCAACATCGTCAACTTGGAGACTGTGAGGAAGCTGGGCTTGAACAATATCAAGCATCACGAGCCCTACAGGCTGCATTGGCTCAATGATTATGGAGTTGTGAAGGTGACGAAGCACGCATGGGTTGAGTTTGCAATCGTTCAATACAAGGATCGAATTCTTTGTGATGTAGCTCCTATGCACGTAGCTCATATCCTTTTGGGAAGACATTGGCAGTACGATCGTGGAGTTACCCACCATGGCAGATCAAACTGCTGTACTTTTAAGCATGAAGGAAGAATCTCAAACTGACACCTCTGTCGCCGATCGAGGTTCGTAACGACCAAAAGCAACTGGAGTCCAATCGAGCTCAAGGGAAGGAAAGGAAGGGTACAAGGACAAGTTTAATTGCCCGAAGGCTGGTGTTTACTGCTCTACGACGAGAAAGAAGCCCACACCGGCCCGAGAGGCAGCAACTCTATTCCTCGTCGACGGCGAGACAAAGGAGGAGAGAGGGTCTATTGGGTGGAGACTTGGGAAGCAAGTCAATCCATTCAGACGATGCAGAAACCTTCCTTGAACCACCGCGAAGCTCTCACATGAATCCATTGGCATCGATTCAACCTCAATCAATGGATCGGATTCGAGCCAAAAAGCCCCTGGAAACGAGCAAACACGACCAAAATTCAGGGTTATTGGTTGGAGAGTTTGGGCACCATTCGATCCAAACTGCTAATGCGGAATCGATGAGGGAAGTCCCAGGAAGCTGTAGAAATCGTCAATTGAATGTGGCGATACCTGAAATCAAAAGCCCCAAAATTGAAATCAGAAATTTGGGTTTCTTCTTTTTGAATGACGACGATGGCGGGAAACTTCAAGTTGGCGATTCGACATTGATAGAGGAGAGTCAACACCGGAATCCGATACAGAAATGCGATTGGAAGCCAGGCGAATCTCGGGAAAGTGTCGAATTGTGTTGGAGATCCCTAAGGATGAAAGCCCCAATCTGCTCGACGAAGAATAGTATTCTCGAGTTCAAGCACAAGGTGTTCGAGCAGCCAACATTGGATCCCATTTGGGATCAATTTTGGGATTCTTTTAAAGCAAAGAATGCCCAAACTTCGAGGGCAAAACTTTTTCAAAAGGGGGCTGATATGATCCCAAATTGCTTGCCATTGAAGCTTCCATGGATGATCAAGAAGCAAGGTCATTGAGGAACAAAGAACATAACATTTGTCTAAGTGTTTTTGATGTTTCAGGTTACCAACTTTGGAGGCTTGGTTCGTTCAATTCATTCAATGGAAATTCGAGTTTGATGGCTTGTTTTGAAGGTGGAGTATCTCTATGCAAGATGGAGGGCCTAGAAGTTCAAAATGAAGTCTGGAAGGTCATGGTTGAAGCTCTCCAAGTTGCCAAGTCAAAACCGAGAATCTGCCTATTTTTTTGCTAAGGCAAATGACGAGTTCAAGGTGCCTACTTTGGAGCCTAATATCTGGAGTTTGGGACACATCCAGATGCTGATTTAAGTTGGGATGGAAACTAGAACACTTTCTAAACCCGGGGAAGGAATTTGATGAGATTGAATCAACTTGGAAGACCATTTTCGGGGCTCCCAAAGAAGCTCCCTCAAACTGTCAGCAATCCAAATCCCATAAGGCTTCATAGTCCTATTCGGATTACATGTGTAATTTAGTTTCTTTGTTGAATTAGGTTAATTTTACGTAGTCTTTAGATTTGTTTGCGTTTGTTTAAGCCTATAAAAGGCCTCAATCGTGTATTGAACAGTTCAGAGTTGAAATTGAGTAGAAAACCCCAAAATTCCCAACTTGTGCGTTGTGAGTTTGTTTTGGTTTTGGTTGCGATCAAAGCTTGCTGACCCCTAGCCTATTGATTGATTAATCACGCTCAATTACATCGAAAGCATCGACATAACAATTGTGTAATCTTTCTGGTTTGAGATTCCCCGTTCGTTTCCATCAATTTCGTCTCAAACAAGCTTAATCGGGCTTGTTAGAAACTTTATTTTCTGAGTGTCATGTTTTACCTCGAGAATCTGTGCAATTCTGATCCAAACACCTTCCTCGGGTGTTACCCCTTTCCTCATTGATAACATGTCCAAGATAATCCATCTGTCTTTTGCCCCAAATGAGCATTTGGATGGTTTAACATATAAAGTGTTCTGTCTCAGTAGTCCACGAGGCTAAGTGTTTTGTGTAATTTTATGCTGCAGCCATCAGATCATCATCAATGAGATGGATTGTGTCTTGCCAGTATGATTCCGCGCTCTGTGGTTCACTTGGCAGTTGGTACTCACACAAACATACAAAATGACCATTTACAAGCTTTTCCAGCATCAAATTAAAGAGTAATCAGAACAAAGAAGATACAACTCGCCAGGAGACATGAAGCCATGAACTCTTGGCTGATTACTCCAAATACATCCAGCTGAGATTACAAGGGCATACGAGTGTTCAAAACTCATTTAATTGACTCCTCTTCAAACCAAATGTATCTTCATCACCACTCGTCACTCTCTTTCGTCGTTCAGCGATCATCTCTGAGTAAGCCTGCCATAGGTAACAGTGAGGAAATTCAAAAACCAATCTCATTCCTTGCTGCTACAACACATACAGAATACGACTCTATCCAGAAGGACTGATCAACTCCATTGAGGTAGAGATCCTCCATTGCAGCTTTGCTATACTAATGATCCTTGTAGAACTTTGACATGAAACCTTTGGGTGATTCTTATAAGCAATTAGACAGAGGTCAAAACCCAAAACATATCCCAAGTACTGCTATTCCCTAACTATACTTGATACTTTTAACTTTCCTAACATTGACATCCATCCTTACTGGCACAAAACCTACATGGCACAAAACGCAATAAGTTCGATTCGCAAGCATACATGGACAGGAATAGCAAAGAAGAAGAGCAGCAACATAGTACCTTGGGATAAGAATAGAGGAAAATGTACCACCAAGCAGATATTAAGGTGAGAACAACCAAAGTGATTGCAACTGACTGCAAAATCACCCAGCTAGCACCGGTTATCAGTACCCCTGTTAGAGTTATAGTCCAGGGTTGGCACCTACATCACCAACACAAAGGCTTTAGAAGGATTTCAATCATCAATCAACTATGATCAAGAAATGAAACTTGGCCAGTTGCAAGTCTCAAACAAATAATGCTCAAGGCGATAACCAGAGCCCAGCCATCACTGATTGAACGTCAGATGCAGAGTTAGACAAATTCAGTACCACAGAAGAAAGTATCATCATCTTTCAAGCAGTACGAAGATTGACTGGAGATACAATTGGCCCAGGACAGTACTATTTATGACAACAAGCACACAGCTAGAAACAACCCACGATTAGAACATGCAAAACCATAGACAAACACAAACCCATTAAATTGTGATTGAGACATTGTCAATATCCAACTAGCATACGCAATTCAGTTTCTACTTAAGCTTCAAATCAAGGGTTTGATACAATTCACAAAAAGAAAAAGGGAAAGGATTTGGTGAGCAGGAAGAAATCAAAAAATTTGCACTACCAAGATGGTTTGGTGTCCCAGACAGAATCGTATTCGAGCGAGAGATAGTTGAGATAGCCATCCATGTCTTCCACCACACCATTCTTATCCATGTACTGGGACCCGTCTGGTGGTGGGACGCCGGCATTATTTCTACCGCCATGGACGACTACTACGGCTCTGCTGGGATTCAGGGGCTTCTTCAAAGGGTAGCGAGGCCATGTCTGGAGGGTTGAGGATGGTAAGCAGCAACTGCGACTTTGTGGGGAACAAACCAGCGGGCAAGGCAAAGGCAAAAATGGCGATAGAGTTCCCATTTTCAGGTTCTGGAAGAAAAGAAAAGGAGGAGGGGGCAAAAGCTTTTCCGGCTCATCCTGGCCTGGAAATGAAAAGCTCGTTTGGATTGGGGGGAAAACCTAATACGACGGCGTTTATGTTACTTCATTTTCGACCTCTTTCTTTGCCCCATTTTTGTTTCATGAATCCACCAATCCAATTGGATTTGGATCAAATGGATTGGATTTAAATGGATTGGATTAGATGGATAATTTGGTGGATGGATTGGATTGGATTGGATTCATGGATTTGGATACCATTTGCCACCTCTAACTACCCAACAACCAGTCATGACATCCCAAACAACCTCAACTGGCCTGGGAGAATCATCGACTAGTATTGTCCCACTGTCGCAAAGCTTCTGATAGAAACCAACTTTCGTTCGGTTTCTATAATTATTATAAAATTACAGTAATTAGTCTTTTAGTCGTATTAGGTTAATTGTTAGGGTTCTATGGTTCTTTTCCTATATAAGTGTACTCAGTTATTCTTTTAAGGGAAATCAAGAAAGAATTAAGAAAAGTATCTCTCCCTAAACCATATTCTTCTCCAATCTCGTCTTCTCCTCTACCTAGGCCGACGACCATTCTTTCTGTTCTTCCCCAAATTCTCAATCCTAATCCCTAATTCTCTTCTAAATCCCTTAATCTCTATCACTTCCCAATTTTCCAACCTAACTGATAGAACCCTAGAAATAGGTGTCTATCATCTGGTATCAGAGCCCGAATGAGCTCGTCACAGCTCTTTGATCTGGAGTGGCCTCAACTACAAGACCTACTGCGACAGACCTTAGAACGTCGGAATCAAGAGGCACGAATGAGGGCGGAAAAGAGAGAGGTGGTCACAAAGCAAGACGCGACTGAGATCGGTGGAGATCGTGCAACAATGCCGCCGCAGTCGCCGAGGCTCACCGCGGAGACCGCGGACGACATCACAGCGTCGGCGGAGAGTGCTGTGGTCGATGGCGCAGCTGAATCATTGCAGTATGCTGTACTCAATGTCGAGCTGCAGTTTCGGCCGCCATCAGCTACCGCAGCTGCAAATTCACCACCAACACTGCTAGCAGCAGTTGAACAACCATCCATGGAGAAGGAGCAGAATACTTCCGAGATTATCTTAGCGGTCGTGACCAAAGAAGGAGATGGCCCGGTGGCCGAGATCTCAGGCAAACAGTCGTTGCTTCCGGCAATGAATACAAAGCTTGAACACATCGCATCACTAGCAGCAGCGACCACCATCGGTGCCCTTTCCAAGTTCACAACTCTCTGGATGGGAGCCGAGGAGCGGCGCAAGGCTACTGTAGCTGCTGAGGAGGAAGAAGAAGACCTCGACGCTGTCTCCGGAAATGAGAGGGTCGTCGCCACTAAAGAAGCAATCCGATCTGAGGGTTCGGGGATGAGATCAACGCGGGGTCGAGTGGCGAGCTGGCGATTTCGGAGGAAGCCGAGGTTGGACAAAGAGGATTCGGAGGCTAAGGCACCGCAGGTCAGGCCGGTAGGAGGCTGGCCGCCTTGCCGCCAGAGGGAACGAGCGCGCCAATCGGCGGCAGCTCCGCCTGGGGAGAAGTCGGAAGAGGCGGCGGAGAAGGGGACCTGCCTGGCATCGTCGAACGCACCAGTGGTGAAGGAATATGGCTGTGGGGCAGGGTGGGAGGATAGGACAGAAGCATTTGGCGGTGACCCCCCTCACGCGTCGCCGGAGATGGAGACGACGGGGGCGTGTGGTGCTACGAGGAGAAAGAAGACAGCGGAGGATTCGCCGTCAGGGAGAGAAATGAGGGCGACGGCGGGGGTTGGCTTGTTTTTCCTCTGCCGCCGGATGGTCTGTTGGGCGCGGTTTCATCGGGTTTCCTCGCCTGCAGCGCACGTCGAGCAGGAGATTTGGCGATCGTCTGTGGATCTAACACGGCCGATGTCAACCGGGGAAGAGATGAAGGTCGAGCCGAAACCCGGCGTGTCTCACAGCTGCTGGGTGGTCTTTTTGCCGGCGAAGGTGGAAATGACGTTGGCGGGCGAGGCAACAAGGAAGGAGGTTGGTTGTTCATCATCGTCGTCAGTCACGAGGGGTAACTCGCCTCTCCGTGCTAAAACTATCATTGTGCTCTTGAATGATGCGGAATTGTGGTCACTTGCTGAAGCTGAAGCTCGGGTTGGTGGGTCAACGGGAGGCATAATGGGCGATGTTGCAGGGAGTGATGAAGCAGTGTGGAAGCTTGAAGAGGTGATGAGTCCCACACCTGGAAACCTAGTGGGTGGCCATTTTCTTGGAGAAATATATGAGCAGCAGGTAACTACTTGCTTTAATTACACTACTCCATGGGATTGGTTCACATATGGAAAGATTGGGAAGAATCGTGCAAGAGAAAGAGAGTTAGACCAAGTGATTGTTGATACAATGAGAAGATATGAGCGGATAAGAGTTGTTGTGGAGCCAAGCTGCACTGAATAGGCTCATACGACAATTTGGAGGAACGTCTGGCGGTGGGTTGAGGGAGAGAATGGGCTCTCGAGCGGATACGCCAGAAGATGGGTACGCCATTCCGAGCTGCTACCGTTCAATTGGACTGCTCAAGACTACAACAAAGGAGTCTACCCCGGTGATCTCGGTAGTTTGGTCGTCGCCTTCCATATCGACTGGTGGAACTCCTGGGGCATTTACACCAGCAGGATAACGAGACCGGAGATGGCGAAGACGATGGTGAGATATGCTCGGGGAACATGCGAGATCCATCGCTTGGTCTCCTTGTGCTGTGAGTGTGCGGCCACTAACGAAGGAAGGTACCCATTACGATGGGGGTGTAACCGGAGAACGGAAATGTCAGATGATGAAGATCGTAATTATGAAGTCCAAATTAATGGAGGGAGAAGTTCAGATGCTGGCTATGGGTTGGAAGATGCCCAGCAACAACAAAAGGTAAAAAAGAGATGGTATGTGGGAGGCGTGCATGGAATGGGAAAAAAGGAGCTCGATTTTGTCTTCATTAGAAGGCAAGCCGGCGCCAATAATGCCCATTTTGGCTTCGGGCTACAAGTTGGCAGCAGGCTAGCCCAGCTACGTGCAAAGGAAAGCAACAAGAGCAAGATGCTCGGGACGACAGAGGCGGCCGAGTCCTTGACTGGCACGGAAGGGACGGGAGCTGGATCAAGTTCATGGGGCTTGACGGAAGAAGGAAGTGTCATTGGAGTTGTTCGTGCTAATAGTCAAGTTCAAGTTTCTGAATGCAATTGGAAGTTCAGAGAGCACAAACAACCACCGAGTCAACATTTTGGAAGATTGGTGGGGCTGGAGTTAGTTAACCTTGAGGGCAAGGTTGATCTCAAGGAGGAGGGGATGATAGAAACCAACTTTCGTTCGGTTTCTATAATTATTATAATATTACAGTAATTAGTCTTTTAGTCGTATTAGGTTAATTGTTAGGGTTTTATGGTTCTTTTCCTATATAAGTGTACTCAGTTATTCTTTTAAGGGAAATCAAGAAAGAATTAAGAAAAGTATCTCTTCCTAAACCCTATTCTTCTCCAATCTCGTCTTCTCCTCTACCTAGGCCGACGACCATTCTTTCTGTTCTTCCCCAAATTCTCAATCATAATCCCTAATTCTCTTCTAAATCCCTTAATCTCTATCAATTCCCAATTTTCCGACCTAACTGATAGAACCCTAGAAATAGGTGTCTATCAGCTTCCACTTCAATCTCCTGATCTGCATCACCAGTTCACTGTAAACCCTAAGAACAAGACAAGGGTCCTTGAGCATATCGACAGTGTCACACTCAATAGCAACATCATGCAATCGCCCATCCCCACAGAACTGAGGTTTCGCACCATAAAAGTTCCTCCCGAAAATGTGTTCCTTCTTGGCAATGAAGACGGGCGTTGGGGTGAAGAAGAGCTCCATCACCGTCGAATTTATTACAGGCTTCCTTCTTCAAATCCCCAAGAAGCAACAAAAGAAAAGATGTCCCCTGCACTACAAATCAATATTGAAACCATGATCGTACTTTAAGTAATCTTCTACAAACCCAGGATCCAACAGAATTCTCCTTCAATCCCCAAATAGTTCTTCCCTTTAATTGATATTTTGAGACCCAGGCAACCCAGAGGCCAGAAGGTACCCCCTGCATGAGAAGTAGCCTCAGGAGACGGGCCACATTCCAGCCCCCTCCCCTCCTTTTCGGCTGAACAAGCAATTTCCAAGCAACTTTCGCCTTAACAGATCTCTTGTATACTGGAAATAATCTTTTTGAGAAACATAAAACTAGCCAACCAAAACTGAAGCAATGCATATAAAACTGATGACACTAATTGTACTCATCATCAAATTGCTTGTTCATGAAGCACATATTTTAGGGGGAAATCATGACACTTGAACGAAAAACATAACTATTCAACCTTTGACATAGAATAGAAAAGATATTGCTGACAGTTGCTAGGCCGGCAGACCGCAGCAGGCAAGGCAACACAAGATAGCAAACCTGCAACCTCACTTGTGGCAGTGACGAATCAGGCGGAGCTCAAATGCAAAGTAGAAGGCTAAGAATTCCCAACTTCCCCATGTCCCTCCCAGCCGTTGGTTTAGGGGGGCGATGGTCAGAATAGCATACACAAGCCCAATTGCAGTTACAACACCTGACATGCAACTTGCTGCCACTAAATGCCTCAAATGAGTCCCCATCTCTGCTAAATGACTACTATTGCGAGTGGGAATTTGCATAAAAACAAGCAACGTTGGTTGTATTGTAACAGTAGCTCACAAGGCAGACAACATGCTTCAAAGAGGATAGGAATTCAAGCAACCATATGTCATAAAGATTCATTCAATACTTCAACCTCTAAGCCAACTCAACTGCACTGCTGCAGCAACATAAGCTTTCACTTCAGAACCGACATTCAAAGGGGCTACATCAACATGCTTAGTCCTTCATATACTGGTAACTACCAAGATCAAGTTCAACGATGAAGTCATTACCAAGCAAACAACAAAGACAAATTAAAAGATCAAACATATTTCAAATTTAGAAAAAGTTACACCAATGAAGCATCCGGTGCACAACTGAATCATTCTTGGAAAAGCTTCTGCACTTTCACAATCATACTCATGCAAATTTCAAAACAACATGGAACAAGTACTACACACCTCGGCTCTCATATGCTCAATCATCAGCTTCATCGGATCCTTTTGCACCAAACGGATCGTGGTTCGGACCTACATCCTCTCCAATATGGCGCTGGACCAAACGCTGTAGATCAGCCATAACCTTGTGCTCACGTTTCGCTTTCTCTTCATAGTTAAACATGGCCAAAGCACGCTTGTCCTCAGCACTGTATACCTGGTTTTCTTTCCTTATACGAATTGCATTCATCCTCTGATGCCTGCTACCACTCATCACATACCCTAGACCCTCAAACCTCTGTATCTCATCAGCAGAGAGACCCACTTCACCTCTTCTTGGGATACGCTTCCCTTGTTGCACATACTGAGCAATGGCATCACCTTCACCAGGTCTCAAAGCACCACCATAGCTAATGTGCCCCTCAGCTCTAGGCAAAGGCATTGGACCAACGGCAGGTTCACTGTCAAAAGCAGGTTTCTTTGGTGCCTCCATCAGTTCTTTGAACATCAAAGCTTCAGTGTTCATTTCAGCTGTTATAGCATCTTCATCTGCTGCTATTTCTGGTTTGCTCTTTGTATCAATTTCAGAATCCACACTTTCACCGTCGGATTGTGATTTTCTCTTCTTCTTGGAGAGTTTTGCACGGGAGCCTGATTTGTGTTTCCACTTCTTCGACTTGGACTTCTCATTGCTATCATCAGAATCCTCACTCTCGCTATCATCAGAATCAGAATGCCTACTCTTTCTCCCACTTTTTCTGCTTCTGCGACTCTTTCTGCTGCTCTTGCTCCTCTTGGCTGACTTCTTCTTCCGGCGACCACCATTCTCCTCTTCAGAATCGCTTGCACTCTCACCCACATCCTCGACCTGTTTACTGCCGCTATCCACAGGTGACTTAGTACTCCTAGGCATAGAACTCAAACTGCTTCTCTTCTTCCTCGACTTCAAATCTTCCGATTCACTCCCGGGCGAGATATCTGATCCCTTACCTCTTCTACGCTTGGATCTCGAGCTTCTCTTCTTCCTTCTCGACCGTGAATCGTCAGACTCAGATTCAGACGGGCTCTCCGACTCGCTACTTCCAGAATCCCCTGACTCAATATCCGGTAGGCCATTCCCATCTCCTAATTTGTCTTTCCCACTGCAATGGTTTTTGTCCGAACTACCATCTCCCCTCCGTTCCGTCTCTTCCTCATCGGTCCCGTTATCGAGCCTCGGTGGACTAGGGGTAACCTCCCAAATACAGTAACTCAGCGACTTCCTAAGCTTCTGCCTCTTCAGCCTCCTCTTCTCTTCAAAGCTCAAATCCTTCAATTCCTCGTCGGACTCCGGTTCCGTATCCCTTCCGTTTCGGTAGCCACCACCATCGCAGCGGCCGAACTTAGTCGGGAGAGAATCTAGGTTTTCTTTAGCCCAAGAGCTGGGGCTTCTCCTTCTTCTAGGGCTAGGGTTTGACCTAGGGCTTCGGTGAGCCGGAGAGATCGAGCGGCGGCTGCGTCCTCGATCCGTCTCCCGACAGCGCTCGTCGTACCTGCTGTAGCAAGGGCTGCGACGGCGATAGACGGGGGAAGAGTCGGATGAAGGCGCGTGGCGGCCGTTTTGGCGATCCGGCCGGTAACTTCTATCGGGAATTTCGACGATCGAAGCTGGTCTGGGCATTTTTCCTTCTCAGAGATTTTGAGAGAGAAGCAGGGAATTGGTACTGATTGTGATTCTTGTTTGATTTATATCCTCCGATGGAACAACCAATCTAGTTATGCTGCTCACAGCATAAAGGGGTTAATTGCAAGGATGGTCACTGGGTTTACTAAAACCGTTCATGTTTGGTCACTGCAAATATTTAATTCCATTCATGGTCACTAAGATTAGTTCAATAGTTCAAGTTTGGTCACTCTCCGTTAGTCTCCGTTAGTTTTTGCTGATGTGGCAGTCAACTATTATAGTTGACCGTTAAATGAGTGACGTGGCCAATAAAAAAATAAAAAAATAAAAAAATTTAAATATTTACAATTTCCACCTCATTTTACAACTATTAAAAAATAAAAATAAAAATAAAACTTACCTCCATACATTCACAATTTCGTTTTTCGTATCCTTTCTCCTTGCTTGCTTATGTTTTGTTTTTTCTCTTCTTTAATTTTACCCCCAAATTGATTGAAATAGACGAAGCAGTAAGAAACCCTAACTAGCTAACAGCAATCCATCCAAACCAACGAACCAACATCCGATGCAATTGAGATAAAAAACCAGAAGATGGATTCGGCGCTACTAAAGTAGAGCAAATCGAGTCGAGAAGATGGGAAAGGATTGTGCAATTGATGAGAGTGAATTACCAGGAATCCGTAGAGTACTCGAAGAGCTTCCCCTTGGTGGAGAAGACGATAAGAGCCACTTCCGCGTCGCACAGAACAGAGATCTCATGCGCCTTCTTCAGCAGACCGGACCGCCGCTTCGAGAACGTCACCTGCCTGTTGACCTTGTTCTCTATCCTCCGCAACTGCACTCTCCCTCTCCCCATTCTCTGCTCTGTCTGCCTTCCCGATCCAGCCGGATTGATCATGCTCCACCACACCAGATCAGAGGCCGAGCAGTTCAGCAGATGTACGTAGATCGATCGACAGACCTCCTCAAACCGCCTCTCTCTCTCTCTCTCTCTCTCTGCTAATTCCTTCCTTCCTTCCGCTTCTCCAATGGCCTCCCCCTTCTTGTTTTAGTTCTCTATGCTGTGTTTGGCGGACACATCGCTAGCCACCACGCCGGGAGCACTGCTCGATTCCTCCGTGTTCAAAGATTCGGTTTGGAATTCGTAGTCGTAGTAGGGTAAGCAGACAACAGATGAGGGAGTAAGAGTGGGAGGGGCTGCCGGTGGCAGCTGGAAAGAGGAGCGATTAATGATTTTTTTTTGGAGGAGGTAAGTTTTATTTTTATTTTTATTTTTTAATAGTTGTAAAATGAGGTGGAAATTGTAAATATTTAAATTTTATTATTTTTTTATTTTTTTATTGGCCACGTCACTCATTTAACGGTCAACTATAATAGTTGACTGCCACATCAGCAAAAACTAACGGAGACTAACGGAGAGTGACCAAACTTGAACTATTGAACTAATCTTAGTGACCATGAATGGAATTAAATATTTGCAGTGACCAAACATGAACGGTTTTAGTAAACCCAGTGACCATCCTTGCAATTAACCCCAGCATAAAGTGTGAGTAGATACTCACACGGTGGATCTGTTGTTCACGTGGGCGAGGGTAAGATGGCGCCGGGTTTGGGTAGAGGAAGGTGAGCCGATTTGGGTCGGCTGGTCGAGCCCACGGTTGACAAAGCCCACAGGACCCACAATACAAAAATCAAAAACTGTTCCCCTCTCTCCCCTAATTCAGTTCCCCTCTCTCCCCCACTTTGACTTCCCCTCTCTGTTGCTCTCCCCCACTTCGACTTCCCCTCTCTCTCACTTCCCCTCTCTCTCACTTTCCTCCTCTCACGAAACCGACGAAGAACAAAGCTAAGCGGCGGCGAGGGACCAGCGGTGCGGCGGCGAGCGAGCGAAGCGGCGGCGAGTGGTGCGGCGAGCGAAGTGGCGGCGACGGTACGGCGGCGAGCGAACCGGCGGCGACCGAAGCGGGATTTCGGCGGCGACGAAGGGCGGGATTACGGCGGAATTTGGACTAAGGTAACTGTCTTAGTCTTATACTTTGTTCATGGATATTCATTTTCGCTTCGACAAATTTGAGTTAGGGTTTCATGGCTACGACTTGATCTGGGTTTTCCTTTTGTGGATTTGTCTTCATGGATATTTATTTTCGTTTGGACATATTTGAGTTAGAGTTTCATGGCTACGATCGGGTTTTCCATTTGTGGATTTGTCTTTTGGGTTCGTGGGTGAAATATTTATTTTGTGGTAACTTATATGTCACTGGATATGAGTTCGTTCTTCTGTGGGTGTTATTTCTGGGTTTTGTGGATTTGCTTTGTGTTCCTTCCGATATTAGTTCTGTTCGGCAAGATATGCATTCTGTTCCTTCTGGATATCCGTTGTTTTTTGCCTAGGTTGTTGTTTAATGTATCTTGATATTGGTTTTGTTTGAGCATGATATCAGTTATGACTTTCTTGGATAGTTGTTTGATAGGATCTGGGTATTTTTATGTGCAGAGATTTATCAATGGTGCAATCTAAATCTCTTATACATGTTATAATCTGTTTTGTGTGCGTTCCGATATTATTTATTTTGATTATGGATATCCATTGTATTTTGCTTGGATTGTTTCTTTGATATATCTGGATATTGGTTTTGACTCAGCATGATATGAGTTCTGACTTTCCTGGATAATTGTTTGATATATCTGGATATTGGTTTTTAATCAACATGATATGAGTTCTGACTTGCTTGGATAATTGTTTGATATATCTGGATATTGGTTTTTATCAGCATGATATCATTTGTAACTTGCCTGGATAATTGTTTGATATATCTGAATATGGGTTGTTGTTTAATGTATCTTGATATTGGTTTTGTTTGAGCATGATATCAGTTATGACTTTCTTGGATAGTTGTTTGATAGGATCTGGGTATTTGTATGTGCAGAGATTTATCAATGGTGCACTCTAAATCTCTTATACATGTTATAATCTGTTTTGTGTGCTTTCCGATATTATTTATTTTGATTATGGATATCCATTGTATTTTGCTTGGATTGTTTCTTTGATATATCTGGATATTGGTTTTGACTCAGCATGATATGAGTTCTGACTTGCCTGGATAATAGTTTGATATATCTGGATATTGGTTTTTAATCAACATGATATGAGTTCTGACTTGCCTGGATAATTGTTTGATATATCTGGATATTGGTTTTTATCAGCATGATATCATTTGTAACTTGCCTGGATAATTGTTTGATATATCTGAATATTGGTTTTTGATCAGCATGATATCATTTGTGACTGATCAGTTGTGACTTGCCTGGATAATTGTTTGATATATCTGGATATTGGTTTTTGGTCAGCATGATATCAGTTGTGACTTGCCTTGGATAATTGTTTGATATATCTGGATATTGGTTTTTGGTCAGCATGATATCAGTTGTGATTTTCCCTGGATAATTGTTTGATATATCTGGATATTGGTTTTTGGTCAGCATGATATCAGTTGTGATTTCCCTGGATAATTGTTTGATATATCTGGATATTGGTTTTTGGTCAGCATGATATCTGTTGTGAATTCCCTGGATAATTGTTTGATATATCTGGATATTGGTTTTTAACCAGCATGATATCTGTTGTGAATTGCTTGGATAATTGTTTGATATATCTAGATATTTGTACGTGCAGGGATAAAACGAACGTGAAGAGACATCGACGAAATCCACCGCCGTCACCACCGCCACAGCCAGAGGAGGATGAGGAAGAAGAAGATGCTGAAGTCGCAGCGCAAGTACGTGCACAAGGAGTAAAGACCTTTAGATAGGGTTCAGTTTTCAAATACTGATTTCGTATCCGATTGAAGATGTTAGGAGTAAAGACCTTTGCCGCATGTTGTAGGAACGGGCTATCCTCCATCATAATATAAGGAACCGATTGTTTCCCATTGTAGTCTGACTCAGTCTCCTTGCGTCTTTTTTCAGCCAACAAACTACATTTACAAAGCACGAGAAAGAGTTTAGTGCCCAGACTAATATCCACTCAAACCAATATTAATATCTCAACTAAACAAAGTATTATTTAACAATAGCATATAAATATCCGGACAACGCTGACAAATATCCAAAATTTAAGTAGACTAATATCAAAGAAAGGCAAATAAATATTCTGCGTACCTGCTAAAGTGAATGAAAAACAAGTTCAAATCATTTTCAATAAAAGTCGCACTTGTGCATTGCACGACTCGCTGACTTGCGTAGTCAACATCCCGACTGCGAATTGATCTCTCAACCATAAGGAACACCATCGACGACGAAACCCTACAAACATCCCTGCACATGACAACTATTAATGACAATGCATAACTGAACGAGTGTAAAAAAAACTCAAGGGAATTAGGAATTGATATTATGCCAACACATGTCAACAAATATCTGTAAAACCCAGACTAGTATCTCATAATGTCATACCAATATTCGTCCTTTTACAAAAACATATCCTATCAGGTCATGTCAATATCGGCCCAAAAAATTGTTTTATGAGCCTTCGGCCCATGGGCCCTCGGCGGGCAGCCCTTACTAGGCTGCAAGCCACCAAACCCTAATTGTTCCTTCATATTCAACTTCCCGCCCAAAATTTCGGGCCGGCCCCACTAGACCCAAATTATTCCTTCCTTCTCCAACTTCCCGCCCAAAATTTCGGGCCACCCAAAAAGCTGGCCACCTCCCGCCCAAAATTTCGGGCCGCCCAAAACCCGCCCCTTTCCTCCGCCCAAATTCTCGGCTCGCCCAAAAAGTGGTCTTTTTCTCTCTCCTCTCGGCTCATGGGTCAGTGAGTATCTACTCACAAAATAACCTGTGAGCAGTTTAACTTTTTCGTGGAACAACCGCACAACCCCCGGGTGGTAAACGGTAATCCGGTACCGAACCGGTAACCGGTGGTAAACGGTAAACCGTTTACCGGGGCTATCGGCAGCCGAGCGGGAAGTTGGGGGAGTCGGTTTCCCGAACACAGT